GTGGAGACTTTCATAGTCTAACCTGTTCTGTCACCATCTTACCATCCCAAATGTTTTACAAATTTTTGATAACACTACACATATAATTTTATACTTTGACTCTGTCATGTACTATAAGCCTCTTTTGTTTTCAGTTTTTGATATCATAACTTTTAATGCTTCTATTGAATCCCATTTTATTTAAACAAAACTCCATTATTTTACATGTAAATTTGGCATACTTTTTCTTTTTCTTTCTTTTCCTTTTCTACCAAAAATATATTTTTTCTGGTTAAATCCTCACTTGCATCTATAATACTTTCTTTGAGTAAATTCCTGAGATCATTATGACTAGACCAAATATTATTATTTTGAAGACCATCAGATGCATATAAGTATCAGGAAGAAAATTAAAGCGTGGTTTGGGGAGAAGAGGAACTTACTGTTTTAGAAAGGGTCTCCGAGTAGACAACATTTGACATGAGACTTGAATGTAAAGTGGGACTGAGTCATGAAGACACTTATAGGAAAGGCCTTCAGAGCAGAGGAATAAGCAAGTCTGAAGACTCTGAGTTTGGAACTTGCTTTAAACTTCCTGGAGTGGGGAGCCAGTAGGGTTGGAATGGAGTAAGCTAGTAGTTACTGGGAGGATCTGAGGTGTATAACTGATAGGGAACTATACCATAGAAGGGCTTTGTTTATAGCAGAATACTTGAAACTGGGTAATTTATTTTTAAAAAGGAATTTATTTCATTGAAAATTTTCACTTTATTTTCATAGATTTAGAGGATACAAGTGCCATTTTATTACATAAATACATTGTATAATGGTGAATTTGGGGCTTCCAGTATACCTATCACCCAAGTTGTGAATACTGTACCCATTTTGTAATTTTTCAACCCTTACTCCTCTCCCTCCCTTCCTCCAACCTGATGGAGTCTCCAGTGTCTCTTTATTATTCTACTTTATGTATCACAGAACCATTGTTTAACTCCCACTTATAAGTGACAATATGCTGTATATAGGTTTCTGTTTCAGGGTTATTTCACATAGGATAATGGAATTCAGTTCCTGCAAAAGACATGATTCCATTCTTTTTCTATAGCTGAGTGGTATTCTATATAAAATGGAATACCTCTCAGCTATAGAAAATGCATATATATATATATTCATACATATATATTTACATATATGTCACATTTTCTTTATCCAGTCATCTGTTGATAGGCAGTTAGGTTGATTTCATATCTGCTATTGTTACTAAGCAATTAATGGACTGGCTTCTCAATGCATATAAAGGCCAAATCAGTGACTTTTATGAAATGTAAAGCTTTATTCTGTGTCAACTGGCAAGTAAACAGGAGGAAATACTCAGATCTCTCTCCTTGAGTTAGGGCCTGGGTTGGGTTTTATAAGCATAGGGTAATATGGCATGATCTGATTGGATCTTGCTTTGAGGTGATGCCAGAAGGAGTGATCTGACTAGATCCTGCCATGGGGATGATGCCATGCAGTGTCTGCTTCTTAATTCATTCCTTGCTCCTGAGTATGAACTCTTAGGTTCCGCCCTGTGATTACACACCTGGGTCATCTGTGCATACACAGGTTACATGACCTTCAACCTGAAGGTCCGTGGCAACTGAAAAACAGCTCATGGTGTTGTTGCACAAAAGCAAAACCAGATTGGTTTCTGATGTGGTTACACAATTTTGAATAGTGCTGCAATAAACATATAAGTGCAGATTTTTTTTAATATAATGATTGCTTTCCCTTTAGGTATATATTCAGTAGTGAGATTGCTGGACTAGATAATAGTTATATTTTTAGTTCGAGAAAAAAGAATTTATTTCTTATTTTCTTATAGTTATGGAGGCTGAGAAGTCCAAAGCCCAGGGGCTATTTCTGGTGGGGACCTTCTGGGTGGTGGGGAACTTCTGGGTGGTGGGGACTCTCTGCAGAGTCCTAAGGTAGCACATGGCATCATATGGTGAGGGGGTTGAGAATACTAATGTTCTAGGTCAAGTCTCTCTTCTTTTTATGAAACCACTGGTTTCCCTCCCATGATACCCCATTTATCTATTCATGGAGCTTCTTAAAGACCCCACCTCCAAGTACTGTCATTTTGGGGATTAAATTTGAACATGAGATTTAGAGGGGACAGGTATTCAAATCAAAGCAAACAGTAATAGGTAAAATGCCTTATGGACTTCACTCTCAGAAAAAAATAAATCATTAAAACAAAATCTGTGTGCATGTTTGCTGTTTTGGTAGGAAGAAATCTCATTGTATTGTTGTTCTAACATTCACTATTACTAATGGTCTAGAATGTTCATTCAGTTGTTTAATTGCTGTTTAGTTGTTTTTTTACAGGGCACTAAATACTCATCTTTATGCCATATTTATTGTGATGGGTTTTTATTATCAACTTAAGAGCTTGAGCTGTTCATATTATTCTTACTCATATCATTCATATTATTAACCTTTTTATCTATCAAATTTATGACAAATATTTTCCTAATCTGTAGGTCTACTTTGTTTTGTATATGATATATTTTTCTTTAAGTTTTCAATTTGAGGCCAAATCTCTACTTGATGATTATGGCTTTAATTTTCTCTGGGCCAAGATTCCCTTAGGAAAGCCTATTTTTTTTTAATTCCCAGCTGCTAGGAGTCCTTTAGTTTCAGTCTTCAGGGGCACTGTTCACAGGGCTCTCTGGCTTTCTACTCACTAGGAATAATTTATCTGTGGGCCATTGCCAGAATTTCTCTACCTTTTGTCCAGGTGTTTGGGGAGGAGTAAGGATGAAGACGATGACTGAGGTAGGGACATGGGAGAAGAGCTTGCTAGATGCTACAAATAGCAAGACTAGGGAATTAATCAGAAAACAGATAATTTACTCCTGAATCTATGACCTAGGAGGAAGGAAAAGCAAAAACTCACAGGCCTGCTTTAAGCAGACCAATTCGTTCTTTTCAGTGACGAGTGACATTCGAGTGATGGTGATTTTAAAACATCTAATTCTATTTACTTGACATTAAGCTTGTCATCCCAGGTGTTGGTGACAATATGAATCTCAACTCTTATTTTTTAGTGAAAATGCGAATTTACATGTATATTTCTGTCTTACCCATTAGATGTAAGATTCAGGAAAAGAGAAGCTATCTTACTTTTGTTTTCCTTGTTTTGCCCAGCTCTTAGTACAACCTCTGATAGTCAATAAATATTTAGATATGAAATAAAGAAACAAATTACAGTTACTCTATATTTTAGGTTCATCTCTCTGGTACTTGTCAAATAAATAAATGAGTCACTGAAATATACAGTGTTAGCAGCAAATGGAGGACATTATGTTACAGACTGGCAGTCAGATGTGTTATAAGACTGGTTGCATTGCCCTACTTCATTAAAGAGCCATGCTTTCTGGCTCTGGTGCTTATGGATACCTACACCTCCAGGCCGATGCCCTCAGGAACCTCAGGGTTTCAGAATGAGAATTATTTCTTTGCTTCATTTTTTTCCAATACTACGTGACTTTTTCAGTTCTTCTTTATGTTTTACCATAGTTTTCAGGCTCTTCTTTTGACTACTTGGTATCCTTTTGTTTTCTCAGATTGACCTTTTCTAGGGTATATCTTGGATAGTGATAATACTTGATATTTAAACTCTCATTAGTGGGATGGTACTAAGAGTAGGTACTGAAAATTTTAGAGACCAATGAATCATTATTAAGCCAAAATGTTAAATAATAGACAATACTTTTCACTGGTAATAAATTAGAATTTTTAAGATTTAAACATAAAATGAAATGAGGTCTCTTATTTTAAAACAATTAGCTACACTAGTGGTGAGTTGAGAGTGACAAAATGCCCCCGACGCATATTCTTCTATGGGATGTCTCTTTGGTGTTGGTGGCACTGCCACTGCATTGTGATAAATTTCAGTTCATCACAATGCAGTGACAGTGCCACCACCACCAAAGATACATGTGAAATTACTGTGTTTTCCATATGTTGATAATTAGAGCTAAATGGTTGTTGTCAAACAAGAGATGTGTCAAGAGGCACTAGAGAGTAGAGTAAACAGAGGACAGGTAGGAAAGGAATACAGTCAGCTGAGGGGAAACTGACATGTTTGATGAAATAGAGACACTCTGGGTGGTTTATGTCCACATGGGGGGGAGGATGAAGATCTAGGGAGCAGAAGGCTTCCATCTGTGTCTTCCTTATATATTCAAGGAAAGAGAATTTTGACTAAGGAAAGGATTAGGGTTGAACTGGAAAGAAGAAAATAGATTCTCCAGGGGCAAGTTAGGAAAAAACAAATCAGAATGGGAATAGGCTATCCTCAGAGGATGAGAGGAGGTGGGCTCTTCCTGAAGAAGGAAGGCTCCTGATACAGAGCCTGAATGTCTCTTCAATCACTGGAGGAGTAATATAAGTGATCACCAAAGAAACTTGTCTCCAAATCTAGAGAACGTTGAGCTTTGAATTTAATTTACATGCCTGTTATTGTTCAAATCTGTGTTACTTTGGCCTTTTTCCATCCTTACACCTTTATTAAAACTTGTTTAAATGCAAACATCTTGACTTAAAACCTTGTCTAATAATATCATATCCTCTCAGCACAGAGTACAAGTTCTTCATTTATTTGTTGATTTTCTGAGCTCCACTTTGGACAAATTATTGAAATATCATCATCGTCATCATCAAAGTTGCAATGAAATGAAATGACCTGATTACAGTCACCTCTTTTCTCTCTTCCATTGCATTTTTAGAAAATGGGTCAAAGTCAATGGGATATTTGTGTTCTTTTCCTGCTTCCAGCTTATTAATTTGAGTATCCATTTCCCGTATATAATCAAATTTAATGAAAGGGAAGGGATATGGAATAAAGAAACAAATTGCAGTTACTCTATAATTTAGGTTCATTTCTCTTCAGTACTTCAAAACTGCTCATCTTTCAACTCCAAAAATGTGTACCTTAAAAAAAATGACTTGTAAATATTCCCTTTTTCTTACAGGTGGAATGGCTGAAAAATGAGGAGCCCATTGACTCCGAACAAGATGAGAACATTGACACCCGGGCTGACCACAACCTGATCATCAGGCAGGCACGGCTCTCAGACTCGGGGAACTACACCTGCATGGCAGCCAACATCGTGGCCAAGAGGAGGAGCCTGTCTGCCACTGTGGTGGTCTATGGTAAGACCAGCCCAAAGGCCAGGAAATGGATATGGAGGGCAGGAAGCAGAGAGGTAGAAGAATGTACATTTTATTAAAACTTACAACCATCAGAACGGAAAAGACCTTGGGAGCCATCCACTGTAGCTCTCTATCCTGCCTCCCCCATCTGGCAGGCGAGAAAACATCCCTATTGCTATTCATGTGTTTGCTGTTCTGTCCAATATTACACTTCCGTGTGATAGTCAGTGACATTTCCAATCTCTCTCTTTTTAAAATAATAAAAAGTTGTTTATTTTCTTCTATTGTGTTTATATTTGAGAAGAATTGAGATGAGCAACTTCTGCTTCCCATGCCTTCCAAACCCAACACCTGCCCCAATCTTTCCCAGACCTGCTGTCAAGTAGCTCCTCTCTCATTATGTGAAATTCACCAAAAACAAACAATACTATTTGCTGAATATCTCAGGGATTGCATAAAAGAAGTTCCCAGCTATTTAAGTAAAGGTATTCCCTTCCACAATAGAAGAGCCCTGGGATTTATTTTTGAAGCACTTAAAGTCATAGAAATTCAAATACTGGTATTTTCTTCCTATACTCTGGATTTTCAAGTGCTTTAGAGATCTGTTGATGAGTTCATGCTATTTTTCATAATTTCCCTGCAATGCACATTCTGTGTCCCTCCTATTCCAGATGAGTAGACTGAGGGCTAGATTAGGTAAGCCCCACTGTTGCCTCATAATGGAACAGCCAGTGGGGTTGCACAGTCTCTTGGTCCCTAGATGCCCAACTCACAACACCTGGCACAGTGGCTTGCACATAGTAGGCAATCAGTAAAAACCTCTCTCCTTTTTTTCTCCCCTCCCCATTTTTCTCTCTCAGTGAATGGAGGCTGGTCTTCCTGGACAGAGTGGTCAGCCTGCAATGTTCGCTGTGGTAGAGGATGGCAGAAACGTTCCCGGACCTGCACCAACCCAGCTCCTCTCAATGGTGGAGCCTTTTGTGAGGGAATGTCAGTGCAGAAAATAACCTGCACTTCTCTTTGTCCTGGTGAGATATATGCAGATTCCCTTTCCCCTTCTAATCTACCACCACTATTAAGCTGGTGTGAAGCAATCAATGTGATCTTCTTTTCCAAAGTCACCCTCTCCCAAGATCTTAGACTAGAGCCTTTATCCAAGATGCGAATGTGGGAGCTCTCCATCAGGGCAAGAACATGGGTGACATACCTCTGTGCAATGTTTTGGGGCATATTTTTAAAATACTTAGATGACACCTAAACATTCACCATCAATAAGCCAAATGCTATGAAGTATTGTTAAACTACCAGTGTTTGGTTGGGCTAAGCCACCCCCTTCTCTCCTTGGATTCTCCCATTTTGTGGCATGTATTTGTATAATAGTTAGCAGGGATTAGGTAAGTTGTCTTCAAGCACAAAAGAGCAGGTACCAAAAATTTGACACTTTATCATCAGATATCAGCCAACTAATCTTATCAGTCTTAACTTTGTATTTATTTACCAGACAATTGGCAGAAGTTATAGATTGTCACAGGAGTCTCTGTTTTACATTGAGTCTATGCTCGTCTTCCTTTCTGAATAGAGAGATACTTCGTTTACCAAATATGACTTTTATAAAATATTTTGTTCATCTCTTACTGGCCATAACCCAATTTGTACAATGAGAAATAGATGAGATGGAAGATGACTTTCTTTATGGAAAGCATATCCTCCCACTGAGAAATAAATTGATCCTGGGTCTCACATGCACTACAGAACATTAAGTCCAAGGACACTGGACTAGAGGCTCGTGTCTTTAAAGTTTCAAATTTAGTTCCAATGAAAGTTAAGGTGAAGCTCTTCTCACTTGCATATTATTGGAGTTTCATTTTGGACTCATATTCAATAAACGTTTATTGAGTGCTTACTATGTGCCTGGTACTGTGCAGAATAATTTTATACACATAATATCATTTAACTCTGTGTTGTGAGTTTTATTATCCCCCATTGGCAGACATGGTAAACTGAGGCTATGTGACTTGCCTAGGGTTATTCAGCTGATAAGTTGACAGATCCAAGACAAGGACTCAAACATTTTTCTTCAAGTTAAGTTGTTTTTGTTTTTTAAATCACTCTACTCTTGACTAATTGCTTTAGATTAAAAATTGCAATATCTTAAATAACCCACATAAGCATGGTTGGACTATTCCTAGGAGGTTATGGGGCAATTGCCTAAAACATCTGCCATAATCTCTAGGGTTGCTTTTTAATGGAGCTAAATTCAGTTTGCTCATTTCAACATACAGCAGCAATCCATGACCCAAGAAATTCTATTTATGTAGGCCCCCGTGTCATGGGGTTTGACTGACCTGTTTTAGTTTAGTATTATCATATATTTGGGTTTTATTTTTTATTGTTGAGAAGCTTTTAGGGCTTAAGGATAATTCATTCTACTCTCTGTTCTGAACTGTCAACCCACAAAGAAATGGCTGATACCAGAGGTTACTTCACATAATTTATCTGTCTATCTAAGATGCACATGGGTATGAAAAAAGCGAGAAAGGATGGATAATGACAATATTAGCCAAAAGAGGTGCTGGTAATTCAAATGCTTGCCTAAATTTGATAATTGGTCTCATCCTGAAATAGCTAGAGAATTATACCACTGCTTTTGTGAGCCTATCTCTTTAGGAAAGAAACCATGGAGAGAAGATAAACTGATTTATTATTTTGTTTTTGTTGTGGTGGTAATTTCTTTAAAAATCCAGCTCTAAGAACAACAGCAGTCCTGGGGTGAGTCTCCTGACAGCTACTTGATTTGTTCTAATGATGTTTCTTTTGTTTCCCTTTGAAGTGGACGGGAGCTGGGAAGTGTGGAGTGAATGGTCAGTCTGCAGTCCAGAGTGTGAGCATTTGCGGATCCGGGAATGCACAGCACCACCTCCGAGAAATGGGGGCAAATTCTGTGAAGGTCTAAGCCAGGAATCTGAAAACTGCACAGATGGTCTCTGCATCCTAGGTAACAACTTTCTGTTTTCTATCTTCAGTGTTTGTTCATAATATCATTCATGTATCTCAAGAAAGAATGCCATAGCCATTAATATGGTTAAATAAGATAGCAGAAAGCCAAAGTGCCAATAGCAAAAGGAAATTGGGTAGAAAGTCTAAGAAAGTAAACAAACACATTTTTAGTAGAGATGGTAAAAATTTAAATATTTTATCACTATGAGATTTATAAATGTGTATACTTATTCATCTAAGATCGTGACTTAAGATGAATAATTTTTAAAAATATTTTAGATGTTCCTTTTAGGAGCTGTCATTTTTATGTTTGGTGAAATTCTGATACTGATCACAAGGAGCCTGTGGTGTAACTCTAATCTTATACAAATGGTTGGGGGAGAGAGAGTGATGCCCGAGGAGGAGGGTGGCTCACACTGGTCTGATAGAGTAGGAAATATAATGTTCATTTCACAACTCCCAAGCTTTGCTTTATTGCTGAGATCATACCATTACCATCTCCAAGGGATTGTTTGCCTTGGTTAGAAAATAGGGAGGATCAAATAGAGTCAAATGCTTTCCCTTACCTACTTCATCACTTAATTCTTACCTTCTCTCACTAAAAGTACCAAATATGATAACCACTGTTGTTTACTTGGCACGGCTAAATCATAAAAGACATTTTTAAGTTGCATGGCACAGAGTAAGTGCTCAATAAATGTTAATCCCTGTTCTACTCATCCACACAGATGAGCTGAGGTATATTGATTTTGCCAAGATCTTTAAATAATAAGACCAAGAATATACTTATTCTCTAGAACTAACTTGCTTTCTTGGAAAATTCCTTGGGAAATATCCAGCAAAAATACCATAGCTGAGTAGTCTGTGATCTTTTCAGGAATATATGTCACTCCTTATTTGGGAAAATGACAATATGGAAGAAATATCTAAGTTGAGTTATTTTTCTGCATTGATATGACTGGGTACCCTCAAAGGCAATTGTGCACATACTAACTTGTATTTTCATAGTAAAACTGTATGGTTAATACACTGGCTAAAATGATTAATACATTGAAATGAATACTTATTAATAGCCAATTATAACTTTACATGCTAGTATGAGTACTGATTGCCCTGCATGCGTCTGATACAATGCAAGGACTGTGCTAGAAGACAACCTAGCTATCAGTTTTAGTTTAGCTATGCCGTCCCATAAATACATATCAATCATTTACCTTCTTTAGAATGCCTTCCCCTGTCCTAAAGGCAAGGAAACTGAACACAAACTCAGTGACAGGATGTTTTTAAAAGTGTATTTCTGACCACCCCTGAAAACCACCAAACTTTTCTGAAACATAACTTTGAGGTGTGACTATTTTTTTGACATGTTTTTATTTCCACTACACGAAAATACAAACAGAATACTCACAAAACCACTATTGTGTGACTAAAACTACACATGGCCAATGTCCATATGAAGGTTCATTTAGTAAACCAATGAATTGCTAAAAGCAACTGCCCAAACTAAGACCATGAATGGGCTCAAGAAATGCACTAAGCTTTTATTTAATTTCACAAATACATATACATCTGTGGTGATTTTTTTTTTTTTTTTAGTGTCTCTGTCACCCAGGCTGAAGTGCAGTGACACAATCAGTTTACCACAGCCTTAACTTCCTGGGCTCTGGCAAGCCTTCCACTTCAGCCTCCTGAGTAGCTGAGACTACAGACATGTGTCACCACACCCAGCTGATTTTTTGGTTTTGGAGGGACAGTGTCCCACTGTATGACCCAGGGTGGCCTCGAACTCTTAGACTCAAGCAATTCTCTTGGCTTGGTCTCCCAAAGTGCTAGAATTACAGGCATGAACCATCACGCCTGGCCTATGATGTGTCAACTTCACTAGGCCACAGGATGCCCAAATATGTGGCCATGTTTTTAAATCAATACAGGTTGAGGTCATGAATTTCATATGTTTTCGTTTTTTGTTTTTTTTTTTGAGTTGGAGTCTCACTCTGTCGCCCAGACTGGAGTGCAGTGGCTGCTTCTGGCTACCACAGCCTCGACCTGCTGGGCTCTGGCGATCCTTCTGCCTCAGCCTTCCAAGTAGCTGGAACTACAGGTGCATGCTACCACACCCAGCTAATTTTTGATTTATTGTAGAGATGAGGTCTCGCCAAGTTGCTGAGGTGGGTCACGAACCCGCGGGCTCAGGCATCCACTTACCTCAGCCTCCCAAAGGAGCAGGATTACAGGCTGAGCCACCGAGCCCAGCTCATATGTTTTCTAAAGAGCCATGAGAATATAACTACTTGGCTACTGCTTGAATTTTTTTATAATCATGGCAGTAATCTTCAATATCAACACATAAATATTACCTAGTTGCCCTTTTATTGTGATATCTAGTCATTTATCAGTTAAGTAAGAGTTAATTTTAAGGCTGAAAGGACTTATCAACACTGAGAGTATACTGACAATCCTAGATCCCAACTATAAAATCTGAGGTGTGGTATTAGTCAGGGTTCTCCAAAGAAACAGAACCAATAGGATACAAACACATAAATAAAGAATATTATGGAGAAATACATAAAGATATTTATTCTATAAATGGACTCGTGATTATGAAGACTGGCAAGTCTAGAATTTATGGAGCCAATATCCCAGTTTAAGCCCAAAGATTGGCAGACTGATGTAGAACCAGGAAGACCTGATGGTCCAATATGAAGGCTGTCAGGCAGAAAGACCAGATGTTACTACTCAAAGGCTGTTAGGAAGGAGAATTCTCTCTTACTCAGAGGGAGGGTTAGCCTTTTGTTCTATTTTGGTCTTCAACTGATTGTATGAGACCCACCCACATTATGGAGGACCATCTGCTTAATTCAGTCTGCCAATTTAAATGTTAGTCTTGTCCAAAAACACCCTCACAGAAACACCTAAAATAATATATGACCAAATATCTGGGCACTTTATGGCCGAGTCCAGTTAACACAAAATTAACCATCACAGATGCATATGTATTTGTGAAACTTGAAAAGCTTAATTATTTCTGTTTTCATTTTCCTGTAATGGAAATAAAATAGCAAGGAAGACAATGAGACTTGGAATGTGTTCAGAATTGGAGATAAGATGTCTGTTAAATCCCCTCAGGAGTTGAAAATGCCATGTGAGCCTTTTTCTTCAATCCAATCTATTATTCTTTTCATGGAATTTTATTTTCCACATAAGCATGGTTTTTCTAGCCTTCATTGTATATATATTAATATATCTGTCAAATATGATCAGACTTTTTTTTTAAGAGACAGGGTCTCATTCTATCACCCAGGCTATAGTGCAGTAGTGCGATCATAGCTCACTGCAGCCTTGAACTCCTGGGCTCGGGGGATTCTCCTGTCTCAGTCTCATGGGTAGCAGGGACTACAAATGTGCACCATCACACCTGCTAATTTTTTTATTTTTATCTTGTAGCATGTTGCCCAGGCTAGTTTTGAACTCCCACCATAGACCCAAATCTTAGACCCAAAGCTCTAAGATTATAGGCATAAGCCATTGCCTGATTTGAGACTTTTGATAGCTATAGTGACTAAGTTTTTTGAGAAAGAAAGGGTAAAGTCTATGAAATCATAAGTGATTGAGATATATTTTCATATGAGTGGGAAAAGGGGTGTGTTTATAAGAGTCTGTAGCCAGGATGTGTTCTGTTTTTTCAGACAGAGAATGGCTACCATTGTTAATGAACATGAATAACATTTTACTATCTCTGCAGGAAGCAATGAACAGCATCCAGTTCAGTGATGCCAGCATCACTCTGAGCTTCTCACTGGTACTCTGTCAGAGTGCTCTTGGTGAAAATAGTTGTGCTTTCAGGATAGAGCTCCAGTGAAGGTTGGCTTTGATTAAAATAGCATTTGGCAACAACTCTATGGAGCTGTAGCTTTGATGAAGGATCTAGGTCATGTTGCAATTTGGGAATTTTCTTCATCCTAATTTTTTTTCCTTGATGCCAAACATGGCCCTAAAGCAATTCCTCAATTCCCACCTTCTCTTAGAGTTTTAACAATGACATTGCTTAGCTCTTGGATGACCTATAATTCTTTGATTTTATTTATTTTAACAAAGCATCTGTGTTTCCTCTGTTGTCCCTGAGGGCTGTATTTCTCCTAGAGATAGAGCTGCCAGCTCTGAATGATCACTTTAATATTTGTGTGTGATTGTTGCTTGGTCATTTGTGACTGGAGCATAGAACCTTAGTGTTATGCACTCACAGATGGCCACACCTAGATGCTCTCAACAGGAAAAAAATGCCCCAAGAGTGGTGAGAGTAAGATTAGGCCATTTTTTGCCAATAGCAAGGAGTGCATGTATCAGATTGCAAACACAAACTAAACATCCATTGCCTTTTTCAGAAAAAAAAAAAATTGCATCGTGTGACTGTCAAGAAACAAGAGCTTGTAGATCCATGTTTTCTGAGTTTGAACACCAGAATTGGGTAGTTTTCTGACCATTGGTCTTTATCCTTGCTGAACATAGCTGCTTCTGTGGTCTGAGAATCACGGCCAGAGGGAATAACCTACACATGCCTCATTGACAGGAACAGAAGGGTGAAAATGGTGGGGTGTTTAGTTTGATCCTGAGGAATAGGAGAAGCCAATTTTCCTCTTCTTTATTCCAGCAGTTCTAAGACGAAGGGCATTGGCTTGAGAAGATTAAATGGATCTGCTTCAGAGGGGATTAGCGCTTAGATGTGTAGTGAGACTGATGCTATAGAAATGCCACAGGGGCCTGAAAAACAGAAGAAATCTTCAAGGCTGAGCTACCTATAGCTAATCCGTTCCTCTTGTCAAGTTATAACATAGGTCATTTCAACACTGACAGTTCAAAAACTGAAATATCATTAAAGTGGTGGTTTGTTTTTATTTCTGATGGGCACATTGATAAGATAAATTTGAATTGACTTTTGGAAACCCCATCAAGGATAAAGACAACTAAACAATAGCAGGTTCAAATAAACAACCCCAAGCT